GAGCTCCCCTTTAAATTGCTCCGGTGCTAAAGAAGGACAAACAATTATAATGTTTTGAACAGGTTCTAGGGAAATGCAGGAAACTTCAGCCCACTAAGCCTCACATTTATCCCAGGAAAATAATTTAAAAAATTATTAGTGTGCATCTGGATAAGTAACATCTGTGGGACAATGGTCAGAACACTTGGTAAACTCATGTCATGCTTGCCATTGTCAAGCATGTGCTAATGTGATCTAATGCACAGATTCCCTAAAGCCTCTTAGCAAATGATTTTAGGCAAAATAAGCAGACACGGGATAAAAGGTAAAAGATAGGAAACAGAGGATAGAAGTAAATGGTTCATTTTTAGAGTGGAAGAAAACTACCTCTGAAATCTGCATGACCTGTACTGATGAACTTACTGAATTGATCTAAAAAAGGTGGTATGCGGAGGGGTAAGACAATTAGTAATCAGTCATTGCTGATGCAAAAGTAAATGCAGGAGCTCAAAAAAGCTGAGTGAGTATAACAGCAACATGCAAAATTCAACATAGATGGGTAAAAAGAACTGCTCATTGAGGAAAGCAAACGCAGCAGCAAATGTAAAGTGATGGGCTCTGACCCTTATTGCTCAGACGTGACATCCTGCAGTTATGACAGACAGTTCTGTGGAAATGTCAGTTCCATCCGCAGCAACAACCAGAAGGGGAAACCAAAGTTTAGGAAGTGCTGGGAAACAAAGAAGAAAATGGAGAATATCATCACACCTCGGCATAAGCCCATGAGGGAACTGCTTCCTGAATGCCCTGTATACTCTGGGACTCCTATCTCAAAACTAAACAAAAAAAAGTTTAGAGAAGATCAGTGAGAGTAAGGTCAAAGCTAGGAACTAATCCCCCTGTGAGGAATGATTAAATAAATGAGGTTTTCTCAGCCTGAAGAAGAGATTGTGGAGCAGGGGCTCAACGAGTGCAGAGGGATGGTTGGCCCACCACTTCTAAAAACTGCAAAGAGAAAACAGACAGAAGATGCAAAGTGAACTACAGGAGAACTACTTTACTGTAATGCTAATTAACCTCTGGTATTCCTTGCCCATGGTTGGGAATGTCAAAATTTTATACAGGCTCTGGGGAAGACTGGAAAAATTTATGGGTAGAAGATTAATAGAGGATTGTTAAATTCTCACGTACAAAACCCCCAATCAAATAATAAAAAAACCCCAAACCCACCCTTAGGAGGCTTCTGATTTTTGTACTCCCAGAGGCTGGGCAAATATTCAGGGAAGAATACCTACATGCTTGTTCTGTCCCAACTCCCCTCCCTAGGCATTTACTTTTGGCTACAGTTGCAAGCAGGATACTAGTGGGAGGTGGGAGTGGTAGACCTCTGATCTGACCCCCCCATAAAACTGTTCTAATGTTTTTATGATCTCATTTCTTATTAAAAAAATTTAAAGAAAAAAAAAAAAAGAGCACTAATCTTTCTGTGACACCAATGTGACTAAAAATTCAAAGAGAGAGAATTGACAAGTTCAAATTAAAAATTCTTGTACCTGTAAGACATTAAATCCAGGATCAAATTCATAAGCTAAATGAAATTGTTTCCCAACTCATGCAATTTATGAAGCATAATGTGAAATATAGCAAAGTCAGCTCAGGATTTTACAATTATTAGTATCTGTTCTGAGAAGGAAGAAATTAAACCTGCATACAATAGACTTCCTGCAGGGGAGGTGAGAGGGAAGGAAAACTCAGCATCTCAAAGGATGCACTGGCAACAACCCCAAACCAAACCAAGATATGTGAATCATCAAAGCTGCAATGCTATTGGAGAAATTCCAGGAAGCCAAATTTAAAATAGCAACAGAGGGGAAGTGGTGGGGGGGAGAGACAGAAATAAAGCGAAAGAACAAGACAAGAAAGAAATAATTTAAAACAAGAAAAAAGAACTTGTAGAGTGTTGCCTGGAACTGAAAAGCCCTGGAGGGTAATCACACACCACCAGCCTTTCAGGCCAGCATATATTTCTGTAGGCCTCAACAAAGCCAATCCACTATCCCCCCATGATCTCATAACCAGTACTCCCTTCCGACACTGCTGACACTGTGCATGAATGTGCAGCTGTGTGGTGAACTAAATTCAGAAGCGACTCATCTATAAACTAAAACTTTATGTCAAGCAGGCTTATGGTTCAGACTAGCCTTAGGATCTCTCTGGGGAGTGGCACTTGAGGATCAGATCTTGCTATACAGCTTACACCCTCATCCAGACACCTCGAATATAGGTTAAAGATGTGGAAACCTGAAGAAGGGCAAAAGAAAGGCAGAAGAAGGAACCTTACTTTGAAATATAATCTGTAATTGTGGTGTACCTTTTCATTTCAGTTTGGATAATTATTTTCAGCCTTGTAATTGTAATTGTTGCCTGCCTACAGCGAAGATGTACTTCACTTGATCTACAGGTTTCTCCAGTGCTAGCAGACTTGGGTGATGCTGAGAAATATGAGGCACATTTCTTCGGGGATAAAAAGTTTTCATACAATGTGCACTCAGGTACTGCTGGTAAACCTGTACCCTACAGTCTAACAGAGAGATGAAGAGTTTCCTCTGCTAAATTACAAAAGCCAGCGTGTGATAGCGCTGCAAGGTGTGAGGCTCCCCACAGTGACTGCACTGCTGTGTTTTGTCTGCAAAGCTCACAGTACAGAGCAGTATCCTGCAGGCCTGGATGGGCTTGAGTCACCTCATTATTTATAGGCTTCTTATTATCAAATGCAAACCAAAATAGTACTTGTTCATGCTTTATGTAATGTACTTTGGGTTTAAATTATGAGTCTGTTTGGTTTTTCCCCAAAAAACAAATTCCATTCTTTGAGAGACTAACATGCTGTAAAAGCCCTCCACAGGTGCTGTTGAAAACATGAGATTATTTAGCACTTCTAGGGACTTTAGCTTTAGGGGCTGCCTTCTTTCTTTAGTGATTAAATCAAATAGTGATTAATTTCTGTGATTACTTTGCTTATCTTCAACCCTGATGTCACTAAGGAAGTCAACATTTTCAGTGCCCTGTGGCAAAAGTCAGTTTTGGGACCTTTTGAATAGTTCAGATGGATAGATAACCAACACCATGAAGTGCTTGTCTGTGCCCAAGTCTGGCTCCTGAGCACTGCCTGAAGCACTAGCTACTCTTCCCAGATGCTCTTTCCTGCAGAAACAGCAGCTGAAACAGGTACTGGTGGGAGGCACTCAGAGCAAAAGGCAGAACTGTAGACCTTTTTCTTCATGCCTCTACAGAAGAAAGTGCAGTGGGTTGGCTGCAGCTTGCAGTCAAGAGGAGGATTTCAGATAGGTGAAACAGGTTGTGGAAGAAGAAAGGCAGAGACAAAACGAGTGTCATCCCCTGACATGGGCTGCGAAAACTTGTCAAAACACCAAGCAATTTTTGGAGCCTTTCTTCACCCTTCCTTGCTTTTCCTCAACTAAGTTGACTGATACCTTTCAATAATGAGGCATCAAAAAAAAAAAATTTATAAACAATTTGTGAGAACTCCCATAAATTAGATTTTGGGATGTGGTTTCCCATCTAGGCTGTAGTGCTCCTGTTATCCCCACTGTAGCTCAGGTACCTGCTCCCACTTCTTTCACTAGCACTTCCACAGCAGTACAGGAGGCAGATTCATCTGGAGAATAAGTCACTTTCTGACTGAGCTGCAACCGTACAACTTCCAGTGGCTATAGCAGTGGTGGCATAGAGGGAATCATAACACTCTTTGGTTGGAAGTGACCTTAAAGATCACGTAGCTCCAATCCCCCTGACACGGCCAGGGACACCTTCCACTAGACCAGACTGTTCAAAGACTCATCCAGCCCGACCTTGAACACTGCAAAGGATGAGGCATCCACAACTTTTCTGAGCAACCCATCCCAGTGCCTCACTACCCCCACATTGTCCCTGGAGGTGTTAAGAAAATATTGGATGTGGCACTCAGTGCCATGGTCTAGTTGACAAGTTGGTGTTAGGTCATAGGTTGGATCCGATGATCTCAGAGGTCTTTTCCAACCTTAACGATGCTGCGATTCTGTGAGAAACATATATTTTAAGTCTGAGAGGTGGATCTTCATCCGATTGGTTCCCTGCCCTCACTTTAAAAACTCCCGTAGAACCGCTCTGCGTTTTACGCAGAAAACCTGCAACGCAAAACGCACGAACGGCGCCGGGACCGACAGCCAGGGTCGAGCGCCCCTTTTTCCTCTGGCCTCGGGGCGCAGGCCGTGCCCAGCGAGCCGAGAGGCGGGAGCGCAGAGAGCACCGCGGAACCACCGGCCCGCCCGGAGCGCTGAGGGACAGCCCCGCCCCTCCGCGCGCCCCCGCGTCTCCGCCCCTCGGCTCGCGGGCGGGGGGCGTGGCTAGCCTCGTTCCCACCCCACGGGGTGTATATAAGGCTGGCGAGCGGTCGCCTCTCTCCTCTTCCTCTGCGGTGTGTGCGCTCTACAGGCACGCGGTAAGGTGGGGACGGCTGCGGGCTGTGCTGCGGCCCCAGCGCGGTTCGGGGTGCGCCGCGGCTTCTTCCCTGCACTTGGCCGTTCGGGGCGATCGCTCGCGGCGCCGATCGCGTAGTACTCGAGGGTGGAGCTGGGGGGTGAGGCTCGGAGCCGCGGGTAGGGCCGGCCGTAATCCCACCGCAAGGCCGCGGCCGCCCGCGCGCGGCGCCCCGCTGTCAGCCCCGGTGGTGCGAGGGGACGGACTTCGTGTCCCAGCACGCCGCGCGGGTGGCCCCCCTGCCGGAAGCGCCGTGCCGCGGCGCGGTGCGCGCTGGGAGTGGTAGTCGCGGCGGGGACCCGCGTGGCGCGGCCGGGCCCGCGCCATTTTGCTGTCCCGGCGCGGCCGGGGCCGGTGCTCGGTTGCGGAGGCGGCGGTGCTCTCAGACAGGGAACCAGGAAACCTCCTAAAATGTTGGCTAGTGCAGAGGAATGAAATTAAAAGTGCCAGTGAGAACGAGGTAGGTGCTCATTTCAGTAAAAGGTTCGGTCTCCGAACGAGGCGGAGCCGCCTTGTTGCTGTGGCACAGGGTTGGTGCTCGCGTTTGAGTTGTCTGTACATGTTTTGGAGGGCTCAGCCAGCGGCATCATCAAATTGTCCTACTGCAGGAGACTTCTAAAAATACTGTGAAATCCACGTATCATACCAAGGAAAAAAAACCCCATAACCTTAAGTTGCTTTTTAATGTAAATTATAGAGTTAACGTTTTAACTAACGATATATCCTTTGTTTTTTTAGACAGTGACACAGCAGAATAAATGGCGATGTATTAAAAAACAGAGGGGAAAAAAAAAGACAACCCACATCATCTCCCCAAAAAGCTTCCTGTGGCCTTAATAAGCCTTTCTTCCCCCTCCCCCCCTTGCAATGCTGATCTCAGTGAGCTATAGTACTTCTGGAAGAACGGGGAATACAATTAAAAAAAATAGCTATGATTCTAGGCTCTTAACCTGCAAGTAAAGATGAGGATATGGTTGGATTCATGTAGGAAGTTGTCGAGTGCATTCACTGAGTGTTGAATTAGCTTGTATAATAGCCTGAGCCACACATAAGATTACTGAACTAAAATTATTGAATCTTTACAAACCAGTAGTAACCCAATAACTGTGAAGTTTAAAGTAAGAATGTTTATCACACCCACTAAGTGGAAGCTTAACTCGAGGTTTTCCATAGCTTAAATTGTTTTTGTTAAGTGAAGCAAAATGTGTGAAGAGTTATCTTTGAAGGATTGCTAAATTTATTTGATCTGTGTAGTTTAGAGCAAGAAACTTTTTAATGGGAGCATGCTTATTTTGAGTATCGTACATGGTAAAACATCCTTTGTCATGCATTTCTTCTGGTTGAGTTGGTGAATTTTGATACTTACTCCCTGGTTGAAACAATTCTTTAAACCAGTGGAAATCAGTTCTTAAAGGACTGAAACCTTGGAATGATGAATTTTCATTGAAAATAGTTTAAAATTAAGTTCAACATCAGGTACATACAGTTATTTCTACGGTGCTTTTACTGTGAGGTTGCAAGTGGGTATAACTCACAACTGCAGTTACTTTAAAACTGCATTTCTTGCTGCTTTTCTCCAGTGAGCTTGTTGGGTAGAGGTTGTTGACAATTGTCTCATACATGTGTGTGATTTATTGGCCTGGTAATATGAATCTGCTGGTGCCAAGTTTTACGTTTTTCACTCTTTGTTTTTAGGTATGATGGAGAGGAAGTTTTCAGTTGTGTCCAGTACATTGTGCATTAAGGTAACAGCTCTGGAATTTTAATTATTGTTGCTCTAGAAGTAACACTGCATTTCTGTTATTGACCAAGTTAACAAATGCTTCTGTTTCTTAATTGGTTTCCATATTTTTGTCTGTCAAAAGTATGGGGAGTTTAAAGTGTTGTAGGGTTGTCATCTTTTTATGGCTACTAAGTGGGACAAGAAGGAAAACCAGTACACTGCATTTTCATAGCTGCCATCAAACTGATGAGTAATTATTTGATAATTTTAAGGTTTGGTGCTCTTTGCTGAGTTAGGGTCATTCCGTAGGTCAGTTCTTAGTTGCATTTCTTTTGATGTGGCATTTATATAAACATTGAAGACCCAGGTCATAAAGAGCTCTGTTAGCTTGTGCTAAATTATACTGACTGTGGAGGTGGAGTGAGCTAGCTGTCTGCCTTGGATGTGTATTTGAGTTAATATACATACATGAGCATATTTAAATGTAATTACTGAGGTAATGATCCTGCAAACTAACGGACAAACAGTATTGCATTGTGAATAAATGCATGACCACTCAAATACTTTTGAATAAAAAGCTTGAATGTCTTCAGCAATTGTCATGGTTGCAAAAGAAATCCAAACCAATTCAGGCTAACTTTTCTAGCATGTACAAAATTTTGTTTGTCAGGTGTTAAAGACTGTTCTAGAAGAATATTGAATTTATGAAAAAGTTAACTTCTAGTGCTTTTTGATTGTTTTTTACATAGTAATGTGATAGATAATGCTAGACCACAGCAAGAGGTGTTTTCTAACGTAAAAGATAATTTTTGCTTATTTTTAATTTTAGCACTTCATGGAAGCAGTATCACATGTAGAAGAATACTTGGTACACACAAGTGGATTTTCCTGAAAGCTATGTATGTTTTGAATGATTAGTGGAGATAAGTGAATGATAAGTGGATTAGTGTAAAATGTGCATGATCAAATTAGTAGCTTTAAAATTGAGATATCATATTTTAGGCGTGTTTGACGTGGTCTAGAACTGTAGTAGGCTGAAGGAATTACGAAGTTTTTGTGTCAGAGGAGCTGGTAAAATGCCTGAAATATTACTTCAATAAGGCTTTTAATTGTGAATTTGCACTTTATTGGGAGATTAGTATAAGAAAGTGTTTAGGCAAAGAAAATAAAGAGAGCATCCAGAGACTTGTTAATGTAAATATGCAAATGTTTCAATTTTTTAGTAAATGTGTATTTGTTATTTAAGTGTATAGTTGACATTCTCACCTTTTGGAAAGAAAGGATCTATATTCAATTTATTTCGACTTAGGTGCTTACAGCCAGTTGTTACAAAAGTAAAATTCAGTTCTTGCTTGTGTTATGCTATGTATGAGCATGTTGTAATTGATTATTTTACTCGAATTTCTAGAGTGCGTGAACAGTTTCAAGTAATGGGAATGTGAGGCATCCTGAAGATTTCCTGGCAACAGGAATTATAACAGGTAGAGGTAATATTTGTTGCAGCAGTGGAAATTTTTGGTTTAAAGTAATGCATTCCCATTTCAATACATTGCATATGAAAGACATAAAGCTTATTTTGTGGAATATGAGTGTATGAGCAGTGTTACAATTCCCAGTCACTGGTATTTAAGTGGTGTATAGTGATAAAACTGCCAAACCTGATATATTGCTGAGAAACTTCATATGGATCTGGCTCCTGAGATGAAAGCACTTAATCTTACCGTAACTGTCCCAGTTGGTGTTACTTTTACTGCTGCCCCTGTGAACAAGCCCGGTGCCAGCATGCGCCAGGTTGTGAATAAGAATGTTGGTGCATTATTTAAACTCATTTCAGGTCCATGTTGACATGAATATGTACTGTTTTCAAATGCTCCAATATATAAAGAGCACAGGGAGGGGAAGTGTTGAACCCCTGTCATTTGAGGTATCCTGCCTTATAGCGGGTAAATAACAAGCATTAGCCAGGTATGGTAAGGAAGCATTGCTGGCATTTGAAAACTAGTGATGTTTTCACTTTAAACCTCTTAGGACAGTTTATTTAGGGCTCACTCAGATGAGAGCGGTTAGGGGAAGCAGTTCACTTTATTGCACTGGTGTTTGAGTATATTCACAGGTTGGTTTTAGTTAGAAAGTTAAAATATAAGAACTTCTAACTTTCCTGTCTTACTACACATCTGCAACTTTATTCCACTCTTTATTCAAGAAAGGTACCTTTAAATACATTGCTAACTACCAGCACTTTCTTTTGAAGAACAGGTTTTGTATGAGTGAAACTTCTTTTGCAGCACTGCTGCCTATAAAATGCTGCATTGGTTAGACAGGCACTATTGCAAGTAGGAAGTACAGTGACTTTATGTGGCTGATGTGGAGAAAAGTCGTATGTAGCAAACCTTGCTAGTGCTACTAACCAGTGCATTTTATGTCTTTGCTGAGATACTTGCATGCTGCTTCTCAGTTGAAGGTATAAATGCCAATAAATGTTATGATAAATTTAAAAGCTTCCTAAACGAGTAAAGCATTGGTATGTCTGATCAGTGAAGACCCTATCCCAAACTGCATGTGAATCTGGTTTCTGAGTTTAGATTAACACCAGAACAGGTGAAGCATTTAAAGGTGGTGGATTTCATAGTCTGTATGTGCCTTGAAACTCAGCAAAACTGGTTTCAGTAATGGTAATCTTTTTAAGTACTGTTTTATAAAACTGCATTATTGTCAGCCCTGTTTAAAACCTGAAGGTGACATGTAAACTATTGTGTTACAAATAGGATATTTGAAGTTGAGTCTTCTAATTAGTTTCTCAGAACTTAAAGTGTACTGATACTAATCCAACATATTGAATAATGCAGTTTGGTCTGTATGAGAGGCTAAATAGATGGCAAGTTGTAATTTTGGGTGATGGAAGAAGACTTGCTGGAACTAATGATTTTTTTTTTTTTTTTTTTGACAGGAAAATAGTCCAGAAGGAACTTAACTTTCAGAAGCTTTTAGCTTTTTTGGGTATGTAGCTGAAAAGCTTCTAAATATTTTCTCATTTTAAACCTAAAGTAACTGTGCTTACAGTTCAGAATTTTTTGTATTATGACAGTTATTAATGTACTTAATTGAGTAAAGATATGTTAAGTCATAGTTGGCATTTAAAAACACTGTTCCCCAAGGCACAGTGTGTGCTCATAGCTGTGCCTAATCTTGGTTAGCTTTCAAACCTATGTATGTTATTACTGAAATACAACAGAAGACTAGGGATTGCAATACAAAAATTAAACAATTGGAAACACTATAGAAACCCAGTAATGCTTCCTACTATATTTGTTTTCTCTATTGCCTTTGTCTCATCTGTGATGATCCTATCCCGAACCTGAATTCCCTGTTGAAAAACTTAATACGGATCCGGAATCTGAGACGAGACTAAAATATTTGATTTAAACTTTCTGAAAAGTACTATACTGTCTTTGGTTTTAGTTTTTGAGTTTTTTTCCAGAAACAGTAACAATTTATACAAAGTACTGTGTGCTTATGTGGAAATTGAAGTTTTTCTCTTGAATTAACTGTTTTACTTAACCCTTGCTCTCTGTTTGCAGTGATGAGCTGGACACTTTGTCAGAGCTGTCTGACAGATGTGGATGATCAGTAACCAGGAAGAAGTGTAACACCTGAAAAGTTTTTGTGGCTTGGACTGGGCTGCCATGCTTTTACAGCCTGCTGAAACAGCTGCTGCAACTTTGTTTAGTAGATGCTGTTTTCAGAAACAGCATGTAGACTGAAATCATGTCTGCATATCTAAAATAGTGCCTTACCAAAGTAGTGAGCTACTCTCTCTAGGAAGGATAGCAGCAATATTAGTGAAATGAATGTTGAGCATTAATACATGGAAAATCCCCTGAGCAGTTACTCTTTTAAAATGTGGTATTGATTACACATTCTTGCTGATACTGAAAATCCGTGATAACTCAGGACAACAGAGCTCACATGCAGGTGCCGTAAAGACAAGGGAGAGCGAAACGAGTACACAAATGCAATCCAAAGAATCTGCGTTTTGAGGGTGATGTCATCTAGGAGATGGGAGAAAGTATATAAGGTAATGGTGTTATGGAAGCACAAACCTGAAACACTTCTATGAAAGAAAAATGTAATGTCTACAGATTGCATCGCAGTTTGTATCTGTTGAGGGACCAAGGAGATGGGGTTTTACAGACCAACATTTCAGTGTGGAAAGATGAGTACCACAACTGTGGTACTGCTTCTTTAGGAACACATTGGCAATATTAGCTGCTTGCTGTGGGGGGGGGAAGAGACCACATACATTAGAACTTGTGCTTTAAGCAGTCACTTCAAAAGTACCAGTGCTGTATCACAGTAGCAGCATATTTGCTGTATTTGTCAAATTGTCAGTCTTCCACAGAGGAACGAAGGCTCAAAAATTGGTCACCAAGTAAGTGGGATTTTCAAGACAGCTATACATAAGACTCCATCTGCCTTAAAATGTGAAGCCCAATTGTCAGAAATGCTTTATAAAGGAAGAAACATGTGAATGGCATAATAACTAAATATTAAAAGAGCTACAGTGACTGAATAATTTTGAAATGCACCAAAATACATAAAAACAACCTTAAAGTCTGCAGCCAAAAGTAACAGCACTGGGTGTTAGCAGCTCTCTAGAGAACTGGAAGAATTCCTATAACTTATGGAGTGTGCCTGTGATAAGGGACAAATACCTTGTAATGCCCAATTTTCTGCCTAAGCAGTATGAACAGGAATACCACATAAAGTAATGAAATGAAAAATAGGTATCCATTAGATTACTAAAATGTATGCTAAGGAACTGACAAAATTATAGGGGTATATTGACTCACTGAGCATCTCCTAACCATGACATTTGGTTATTAATAAGCAGTGGCCAGCTGCTTTAGGTAAAGGCTGCTTTCAGCAAGCAGCTGTAAATCAGTCTCTTGAGTGTTGGAATCTGCACAAATTTACTACAGAATAGCTTTCCCTTCATCTCTTTCAACAGCCTCTCTTTCTGTTAAATGTTTCTGAGAATGGTAGGTATTTCTGTGTGCCAGGTTTTGTACATGCTTTCTCTTGAATAAAGATGAGGATGTGAAAAACTTGCCTGTTGCCCATCAGGTTTGTATCGCACCACGGTGTTCCCTGACTGCTTGTCATTTGCAAGAGCCATGAAGGCTGTGTGGCCTTGTGCTGCCTGTTGCAGCATCTTCTGGACACATGATACTCCACATTGTGCTTAAATGATGCCAGGATAACAAACTTGGTAATCACGTACTTCAAAATTGGGAAGGGACTGGTCTCCATTTGCCCACTGCAGTTCTGTGAAAAGTCTGGGTGCTGTTGGCAGCATCTAGTGAAGCTGCTTGGTTGGTAAGTCCGAAAGTTGCCAGTCCTCTTACGGAGGTTAAAAAAATAAAGGACAGGGATGATTAATACAACAGCAATATTTGGTAAGTACTTTGTTAGGTACTCAGAGGGATTTGCATGACTTCATTGCGGGGTCAGATGAGTGTGAAATGTGTTTTGGACTGTAAAAAGACCATCTTTTTATTGTTTGGGTTGATAAGACAAAATGTGAGAGCTTTTAAGGAGATAATGCCATGTGTATATCCAGTTCATCTTGTGATGTTGGGGATGAAAAAAGTTTCAGGATTGTGAGTGACACTTCAGGTGCCCAAAGCACTTCATGTTAATCTTGTTCTAAAACCTCCATTGGAGATGGTCATGGACGTAGGATCAGCAGCATTAGAAAAAGGGGGTCAGGGAATTAAGTTGCTGTGCATTTCTGTGGTGAAGGCCTGTCAAGAAACCGTGTTGTAATCATGAGAATGATTTGCCTCACTTAGCATAGAGAAAGGTAGATGTGGCCAGTGATTAAGCATATTGCATATTGAGCTGCAAAACTTTATGAATATTCTTGTGTGGCTACAGAAAATGGGTCATGAATGAAAAATGTGCATTAGTATTGAAAGTCTGGTATTTGCAAACATAAATGGATCTTTTAACCATGATACTCCAGAGGTTTTGGAATGTGGGACTAGTGAAAGTGATGCAAGAAGGTGATTTTTGTAACCAGTTTTAAAAAGGCAAGTAGCTTGTTTTTGCTTTGTGGGAGGGAGGTAATGTTTGTAAACCACTTGAGGATTTAGTTCTGGTTTGGTTTTTGCAGTGATGTTTTATAAAAGTGATTGAGATGAGGAGTAATTGTGAAGGGTTATTCCGTGATTCATTTGGAACACATGGCATGAGATTTCTCTCCTCAAAAGCACTTCATTAAACTTCAGTTTTAAAAAACTAGATTGTTAGATTTAAAGTTTTAGCTGAAGATTCGTGCATTAAAGAGCATAAAAGCAGTTTGCTTTTTTGCGTTCTAGTCTGGTGAAATCTTTCACTAACCATCACTAGTGTTGAGCTTAAAAGTGTTACATGGCTGTTGGGCTGTGGTCCAAGAAATCGATGGTTAGACAAACTTCTGGAATGTTGCCACGTATCCCTCTTAGGGCAAAAAAGTATTTTTTTTTTTTTTTAAATTGAGTGGTGGGCTTACAAGCAAAAGGAGTACCTTCCAACTGCAAGGAAGATACAAGAGTAGACTGCATAAATGCTTTGCTGTTATTTAATAAGGTCCTTGTTAAGGTGGGAGGTTTTGTCTTGTTGAGGAACTCGTCTTGCTGGTGAAGGCTGTGGATCTATAAACAAGAGTTCCAGGTGAGTCAAAGTAACCTAGCAGTGCTTATCTTGCCACAGCACACGCACTGCTGTGGGAGTGCCAGTGCTGGTGCGATGCCTGCTTGAAGTACCAGATCTTAGTGAACTGGAATTTCAGTGGAAGCTGTGCTGCCATCCTGCAGAGAAGTGTGTGGCTGTGGCTACACCCATATTGTGTGCTGGTGTTGGACTTGCTGCCATCTGGAGCAGGCAAGATCTTAATTGTGTAAGTTGTCCACGTAAAGTTGGAGTATGTGTTTTGCCACTTAATTTCAGTGCTGATTTTTAAATATCAGTTGGTAGAGAAAGATGCTCCTTAAGACATTTAAACATGGACACAGCAGAGTGAGCAGGTGTTTATTTGACTTTGCCCAAGAAAAGGTATTTCAATTGAAGGGTGTTTAGCCCTGACTTCAGTAGTTTTTCTGCACACCCCCTCCCACAGACAGTTCAGAGGACAACATTTGAGTTATCCAGAGTATGAATGAATTTAAGAGATTAATGGTGATTTCAGATGAGTGGAGTACAGATGGAGGCCTTTGTATGCTATGTAAATGCATGTGTCTGATGTGCATTCTCTGCTTTTTGGTGTTACAACCAGTGTTACAAGAGTTGTTTGTCTGCCATTGTCTGTTTCCCTTGGTTGATATAAATGGGGAAAGTAAAATTACAATGATGAATTCCATTTTCTTTCAAGCATCATGTGTTTTTTTTAGTTGATAGTCCAGTTGAGCTATGAAGACAGTACTTCTCTGCCATTGTCTCAAACTTCCTGCGGGCTCTGGAGGACAAAGTGGTGTTTGATGCTCAGAAGAATGGCTGTATTGAGTGGGACAGAGTCTGCCTCGTTCAGTATTCTGTCTGAGGATGACCAGGATAAGGAGCAGGAGAAGTATAGAGAGCCTTTCCAGCAGTTTTCTTGGGAATTTCCTGAGATTTTTATTTGTATTTGAATACTACTTGGCAATTATGACCTATGTCCATTTAAAGATTTGAAACATGAAGCATATGTGGGCTGTAAAATAGATGAAGCAGTGGGTATGTTAGTAATTGCAGGAAGGGTGGGAGAGGGCTGAAATAAAAGCTTTTTTTTTTCTGATTGGAGTTCTCCACAGCTGAAGGAGCACCCTCCCAGCAACAGTGGTGCTAGTTTTGTAGGTGAAAAATTATTAAAATCTGTCCTAAAATGACAGTCATTTTTTTATTTATATGGAAAGGTGGAAAGAGATGAATGGACTGAAAAAAAATGCTTAGTCCTTACATTGAAATTGGTAAGTTGATTGAAAAGGTATTTTTAAATTGTCTTAAGATCATTAAAGCTGTGTACTTCATCTTACCCTGACAAAATAGGAAATAATTTGCCCTAGCCTTAGCTTATTTTTTTCAATCAGTGAGAATGTTGCAGATAAAGAGTACTGAAAAAAAAAAAAAATTAGAGACTTAAACTCTTTTGTGTCTGTTGTGATTTAACCCCAGTTGGTAACTAAGTATCACACAGCTGCTTGCTCATCTCTGCCCTGTTAGGATGGAGAGAACAGGAAAAAAGGTAAAAGCCATGGGTTGAAATAAGAGAAATGAAATGAGATACAATAATTGTAACATTAAGGGAGACAACAAAGAGAAACCCCAAGACAGACAAGTGATGCATAATGCAATTGCTCACCACCTGCTGACTGATGCTGAGCCTGAGAAATGATCCACGACTTCTGGCCAGCATCCCCAGTTTTATTTACTGGGCATGATGTGCTATGATATGGAATATCCCTTTGGTCAGACTGGGTCATCAGCTGTCTTGACTGTGCTTCCAGCTTTTTGTGCCTCTCCTCGCCGGCAGAGCCTGAGACTGAAAAGTCCCTGACTTTTGGTTATTGTTATGTAGTGCTTATTCCAACATCAGTGTTATCAACACTGTTCTCATACTGAATCTAAGCCACATTACTGAATCAGCTGTTAAGAAGAAAACTATCCCAGCCAAAACCAGGACACAAGAGCTAAGAAAAGTGTTTTGGTTGTTTTGAATGTGGCATCAACAAGTTCACAGGTTTATCAGCCTGTTATTTAACTAGTCATAAGCTGACAAAATGTTTTTTTAAAAAATTGACCCCAATAGATTCAGGTTTTCAAAATGAAACTTCCCTGTAACTGTTCTTACTTGCTTCTACTTTTTAGATCCAAACTTTAAAAAACCCAACCCTATATGTTCTTACAGAATCAAAGAGACACTTAACTTTATTTCCTGAAAGCAGATTGGAAGCTTAATACTATTCATCTGTCCTCTACAGATCAGAGAATAGCAATTTATTCTTTTCTAATGCCCAGTTGCTAGGTAAAATTGAAACTTTGATTCCCTAAAGAACTAAACTGCTGCTTCTAGCAGCACAATACAACTGTATTAGTTGCACCATATTAAATTACAAATTTGTTCGGATTTGAGCACAGGTTCTGTTGCCTGCATTGCCCTGTGCAAAGCAATGAAGGGATACCTGGTTACTGCTGCACAAGCTGGAAAGGATAAACTTATACACATGTGCTGAAACTCTTAGGTTAAGATCAGCATCTCTCAAGGCCCATGTGGAAGAACAGATTAGACTTTCCAAAAAAAATTATTGAAAAGTAGCAAGCACAACCTGAGGTACTGATATAGTAAGAGTTCCTCATCCCTGTACTCTGGTCTGAAGTTTGTACTGTAAATCAGAATTCCCTTAGGGCAACATTGTCCAAGTATCTTTAAAAAAATAAAATTTAAAAAACAGTTGTGTACAAAAGGTGTTATTGTCTTCTCTTGAGATCTGCAGAAATGCTGCATTTTTGTAGTCACTTCTGCCTTGTACCTGGCAAGGACTGTAAATGTGTGTGTGTGGATGGGGGTAAGATTGATCTATTCTTACAAGGACCTTCAAAGAGACAAGGTTATTTGGGCTCATCCATGCTTGGAAGGATTTTTAGGTGGTTTGGTTACATGTTAAGTAGCCTGGAACACTTGACCTGAAAGCTGTGTATTGCAACTGCTGCATCAGGCAGTTTCCTGAGTAATCAACCATGTCATTAGTACTGAACTAAATAGGCCTGGGACATGAGCCCAATCCCTGGCAACTGATCATCCATGCCATTAAGGGTTAATGTAGTCTGACAGCTAAGGCCTGGGCAGCAAGCACATTCTCACATGTAATATTTGGGCATGGGTTAGAGGTTAACGTGAATGAGAGCTTAGCTGGGGGAATATAGGCTGTGTTCTCCACATTTGCCTTACAGCTGGAGAACAGCTCATGATCTGTCCCATCTGCTGTATGGATGATGCCATTGTGTCTGTGGTCTCCTCTCCTGGGAAAGATGCCCAGAGCTGGAGAAGAATATTCTGTGACCTACTGACTTGCTGTCTGCCTTTGGAGATGGGCTTAATGCAGTAAGTAACTTACATGGGGTTAAGTAGATCCCAAGGGTCCCTTTCCTTGTTCCACCCTTCAGCTGGCTTTTATAAGTATGCCAAGTACTGGAATCCTGATGGCTACTAGGCAGTACAGGGACGTAAGGGCAGGGCTGGATAGGTGTCTGGGGCAAAGGAAGGTCTAAATACAGCAGTAAGTTCTCTATTGACACTTTCGTTTGTGGCTGTGCTTGGCGAGTTGCAGCTTCAGCACTTGGCTACCTTGCAGTGCGCAAGTGGACAGGACAGCACTGCTGTCCTGAGATGACTTTGGGATATTTTAAAGATGGATACTAATGAGGAATACTCTCTGCAGTTCTCTTGCATGAGTCCTTCTCATAAGCAGAGTGCACGAGGACATGGAGGAAACTTCTTTCTCCAGTCTTTCCACGATAATTTGATGAAAATGGGGCTGTGTGTGTGATAACTGTCTCGTCACTTCTTTGCTGAATATCTTGTCTCCTTTTTTTCCATGGAGCTTTGCCAGACACTGACCTAATGGCAGCATTCCTCTAAGAGCTTTAAAGCATCAGATGCTTAGGGTAACAGAATGGCAAAGGTAGCAGTTTTTCCTTGTACCCAAGAGCAATAGCAATAGTAAAGCAGCATTCTTTTTTTTTTTTTTTTTTTGTCAGATTGGGAAGCCTCTTCCAATAATTTCCTTACCCTTGATAAGCTTGTGAGCTATTTGTATAGGAAGCCTATGGTTTATAGATCTATAGTGGGATGAGGAATATGTGATTAGAGGGAATCTGTAGGAAGAGGAACATTTGCATGTATACTTCTGCAGGAAGTGGGAAGGGTTTGGCATAAAAGGAACAAATTAGTGATTGCATGTTCTGCTTGCTGCAATAACAGGGTATTTGTACCATCAGACTGAGGAGTTAAGACTAATATTAGGTCTCCAGTAGTGCGTATTGGCTAATGGAAAAATGCAAAGATAGGGCAAGCATAGATATGATAGTATGTTCTGGCACGCTCCCCAAGCCTCCACTATTTTTTTATTGCAAAATTTAAATTGGGGTGATATCTCTGTCTTTGCATTTAATAATTTTAGATGGGGATTTCTTGCATTAATTACCTGGGGGAGGCCGTATGGAAATACCTACAGCTTCATCTGACAATGAATTCCCCAGCTTAGTTGCATGTGGGTAAAAGTAGCTCTTTTTGGCTTGGCTGTCTGTTTGATTTGGCGCTTCCTTATTCTTCTGCTGGAAGAAAGAGTAAGCAGTTATTCTTGCTTCTGACTTGTAGACTAGTATTAGGTTTCCTTATTTGTCTCTTGTCCATGTTGAAGGTATAGGTTCTGAACAATTCCTGGCGCTGCTTTTTTTACCAGTAAGTATAGGGCATTTGTAGTTCTTTTTTACAAGGCTGGGACTGTTTTGTGAGTGATAATGGTCCGTTTGGGATGGCTTTGAGTTGGCATTTCCACACACACATGAAGTGACTTTACTGTTTTCTGTGCATGCAAAAATACTGCTCTCCTCCTCCACTGCTCTTTCAATACTTACACATTAACCTACAGTGTACTGCAAAATACATTGAATTCTACAACGATTGGGCTGAACACATGGCTGATAAACAACTGAGTTAAAATCCTCTAACTTAAATTTGAAAAAACCTAAAGGTATTATCGGAATGTGAACTAAACTACATTCTACTACTTCTGTTGAGCCTCTTAAAATGTCAGCTCTGGAGTGTTTAATTTGAGGGTAGATGTACCTGTATGTAGGGGGGTGACAGTTAGTGGGAAGAAGCAAAAGCAGTGATTGGTATTGGAAAGGACTCAAAACATAGATATCTTGCAGAAATAAGCAGTTTAATACTCTTTTACTAGCGCTGTTATAGCACAACAGCTATATACAAAAGCTATAAAGCTTTTGTATAAAGCAAAAGAGAGAAAAGCCATTCAGAATTAATTTAAGACCTTCAGTCTATACATAGAATCAAACACCAAAATAATTCCTGGGAAAGTCTCGTCCCTCCTCATTGCCAGGCTTGTTCTCTGCCTGCAACTATCTGGGCACATATTTAGCAGAATGCAGGTGATGTCAGCCTCAAAAGTCCTGAGATGTATCATGTCAAGTCCGTAGGAGCAGATTCCTCATCCATCTTGCAGAACTATAATAATTAAAAATTAGTGAAAAATTAGTTACTTTAGGTTTTGGATTCAGTGGGTGGGGAGGGGAGGAGTCTTTGCAATCCCAAGAAAGAAGCATCAGTCAGTGGAGAGAGCTGGATTTGTA